CCTCCCTTCCTCCCTCCCTCCCTGCCTCCCTTCCTCCCTCTCATCCTTCCTTCTTTCTCTTTGGTTCTTTGTTTCTCTTCTTTCTGTTTTTCCTTTCTCTCTCCTTCCTTCCTTCCTTCCTTCCTTCCCTTCTTTGCTTCCTTCCTTCCTTCCTTCCTTTCCTCCTTTGCTTCCTTCCTGTTTTTTCTTTCTTTCATCCTTCCATTCCTCCCTTCTTCCCTACTTTCTCCCTTTTTTCTTCCTTCCTCCTTTCTTCTTTGCTGCCTTTCTCTCTCCTTCCTTCCTTCTCTCTTTTCTTTCTTGTTCTCTGCTTCCTTCCTTTCTTACTGCCTGCCTCCCTCTCTCTCTGTGTCCCTCCTTCCTTCCCTCCTTTTTTGCTTCCTTGTTTCCTTCCTTCATTCCTTTCTCATGTCTTCCTTACTTCTTCCTCTTTTTCTTTCTTTCTCCTTCTCTTTCTTCCTTCCATTGATATTTTTTTTCTTTCTCTGTCCCTTTCACTCAACCCTTCACTGATCTTTGAATACCCAAAACAAAGGTGCTTTGACCCAGGCCATAGCTGATGACACTGAGTTGTTCCCAGCAGGTGCAGGACTCTGTGCAGACAGGTCCATCCCCTCCCTCCCTGCCTGGTTCTTAGCACTGCCTGGCATGTACAGATGTGGGTGAGTCACAGTTCCACATAGGTGGGGAGTCCTCATAATCATGGTGGAAGGTGAAGGAGGAGCAAAGGCATGTCTTACATGGCGGCAGGCAACAGAGTGTGTGCAGGGGAACTGCCTTTTATGAAACCATCAGATCTCGTGAGACCTATTCATTATCATGAGAACAGCACGAAAAGACCCACTCCCATGATTCAGTTACCTCCCACTGACTCCCTCCCATCATACGTGGGAATTACGGAAACTACAGTTTAGGATGAAATCTGGGTGGGGACGCAGCCAGACCATATCAGCCTCCAAATCTCCCAGGACACTCTGGGTTTGCAAAACCTCCGGGCACCCCTCGGTGATTTGCAGACTTGGGAAGTTCTCTAGCTCCATCCACTGCTTTTTAGGCAGCAGAAGAGCAGAGACAAGTCTGTGGGAAACAATGTGAGGAGTCTGGCAGCTCTGTCCCTGCACTGGGGTCCGGCCTTCCTCTTCCCCTTGCTCGCCACCCAGAGGATGGGCTGGTGGGCACACTGGATTCACTACCATGCCTTTCCCCATCACACTGGCTGCTGAAGTCAAGACCGTGAGGCAGTGAACTGGGAGCAGGAGAATTTCTGAAGTGACTGGGTGTCACAGGCCACCCCACAGAGTCTGTCCTTTTCCTTTTGGGAGGGCGTGTGCCTGAACTCTCACCAGTGCTAGGGTTTGCCATGTGGCCCACGCTTGTCTCGAACTCCTGGACTCAAGCAATCCTCCTTCCTTGGTCTCCCAAAGCGCTGGGATTACAGGCATGAGCCATCGCAGTGCTAGGGGCACTGGTGAGAGGTGAGATCAGTTCGGGGGATTGGATCATCACTCCCAGAAAACTAGAGGGGAGACGACAAAAGCAGTGTCTGGTCTTTATTCCTGGTTCTGTAACAAGGAGGAACTTCTAAAACTCTTGCAATTTCACAAATGCTAGCAACGCCCTGGTTGTACAATGAGGTGATTGCTGGTGCTTCCTAAATGGCTTCAAGATGGGGCTAGCTACCAGAAACACCAACCACGTCATTAGGGGGTTGGAATTTGGGGCCAGCCTGACCTCTGGGGAAGAAAGAGGGACTGGTGGTTGAATTTGATCATGTGACCTGTGACTGAATCAATCATCCCTATGCAATGAAACCCCAGTAAAAACTCTGGACATCAAATGTCTCAGTCTGTTTGTGTTGCTGTCACAAAACACCGTAGCCTGGGCAGCCTGTAAACAACAGACACTTGTTGCTTACAGTTCTGGAGGCTAGAAGTTCAAGATCAATGCATGGCAGATTCTGTGTCCAGCAGGGACCTGCTTCCTGGTTCGTAGACCGTGCCCCCACATGGTGGATACGTTCACCAGATTCCCAGAAGCTTGTTACGAGAGATGACCTGTGGCAGATTCTGTGTCCAGCAGGGACCTGCTTCCTGGTTCGTACACCGTGCCCCCACATGGTGGATACGTTCACCAGATTCCCAGAAGCTTCTTACGGGAGATGACCTCCTGAAGCATCTTCATTGTGACAGTCAGGTGTTAAGAAGGAGTGTGTTGGGTCCTGGATTATTGCATCCTAGCTCTGAAGGTCCTCAGGTCCCACAACTTCTAATTCCTCTGAGAGTCCTCCGTTTCTTCCATCCCACTGACCAGGACCAAAGGCCAGCTCCCACTGTAGAAAACCAGGGTGTGCTGTGTTTCAAGACTATCACCTTCCACTAGGGTAAAATCTCCAGTCTTTGAAAAGCCTTTTTCTGCGTCTCACGTTCCTTTTTGAACTGTCTTGTTTCCATGAAGCATATGATCACAGCCCATAAATGCCCCAATTCTCCGATGTAGCATGCCTTGCTGAATTGAAACCAACAATCTTTTTGATGTTCTGATGTTTCATCTAATTGCTTAATATTGTTTGTTAAATACAGAGGCCAAGCACTCACTCATCTGCTTCTAGTCAGTGAATAAGCATTTCGGTCCCATAAAGAGTGTGTGAATTAAATATGTACATCAGGGATTTTAATATGCATCTGCCTAGTGAGATAGTTTAACCTACCATTGAAATGCAACCCACTTGGGTGCATTATTGTCAGTGCCTGTTATAAAGAAACCCAGCGGCAGAGAAGCTGTGGTTCCGGTCGATCACCCAACCTCGCTTTCCGCATACATTTCTCAGTGCAGCTGATGAATATATTCCACCTTTCCCTGCAGCATCCACGTGAGTCCGGAGAATCCTGCTTCCTGCTCAGAAATTTGTCTCATCGTAGCCTTCTTTTCTTCTTCCACCAGACCCCTGATGAGGGAGCGTGGACTTCCATCTACGCAGCGGTCACCCCAGAGCTGGAAGGAGTTGGTGGCCGTTACCTGTACAACGAGAAAGAGACCACGTCCCTCCACGTCACCTACAACCAGAAACTGCAGCAGCAGCTCTGGTCTAAGAGTTGTGACATGACTGGGGTCCTTGATGTGACCCTGTGATATCCTGTCTCAGGATAGCTGCTGTCCCTAGAAACACATTGCACCTGTCAGTGGCTTGTGGGTCTGTAAAGACTGCAGTGTTTGAGTTTCTCACACCCACCTGCCCACAGGGCTCTGTCCTCTAGTTTTGAGACAGCTGCCTCAACTTCTGCAGAACTTCAAGAAGCCAAACAAACATTTTGGGGGATAATCACCCCAGGTGGTCCTCAACCATAAACCTTGTGATTCCAAAGTGCCCAATTATCACAGGTGCCATAAATAATTACATTTTCCAACACAAATGTGCCGTTTTCCTTGCCGCGTTAAGTACAACTGAGTACAAAATTTCCGATGAGAGATGATCTCCTTTCAGGGGCCGCGATATCCTCTCTGAGACGTAGTGGTGGATGAGGTCTCCTGTTTGATTTTGTTCCTGCACTCACTCTTTTTTCCAGAGACCCAGCTGTGATTCACGGATGTCAGACATGGAGAGGTGTGAGCCTTTGCTTGCCACAGCCTGTAGGATCAGTTTCACGTGGGATCAGTTTCACGTGGCCAGCAGCAGCATCTGGTCAACCTCATTCCAGAGCGGCACAGTCACAAGTGAAGGATGCCGCTGTCAAATCCGAGAATGTCAACCACTGAACAGCTATGGATCAAATGGTAGCCCTCAAAAGATATGTTCACGCTCTAACCCTCAGAACTTATACGTATTACTTTATTTGGAAAAGAATCTTTGCAGATAGAATTAAGAGTTTTGAGATGGGTCATTATGGATCATCCCAGTGAACCGAATGCCATCACGAGGGTTCTTATCAGAGACGGGTGCAGGGAGATTTGAGTACAGAAGACAAGTGGTTCATGTGATGATGCAGGCAGAGACTGGAGTGATGCGGCCACAAGCCAAGCAATGCCTGGAGCCACCAGGAGCTGGGAGAGGCAGGAAGTATTCTCCCTTACACCCCTCAGAGCCATCTCGGCCCTTCTGACACCTTGACTTTAGACTTCTCGTCCGCAGAACAGAGAGAGAATAAATCCTTCTTGTTTTAAGGCTCCAACAAATTGGTAGTTACTTGTTACCACAACCACAGGAAATGTGTACAGCTTCTGATACTTCTGAAAGCCTCACAGAGCCAAAGGGTACATCCTTGGTATAGAGGATACACCACCTGGATAATCCAGATGATCTCATTTCAAGACCCTTTACTCAATGACACCTGCCAAGACCCTTTCTGTGAATCAGATCCCATTCACGGATGTTAATATAGAGGCTCACTCTTACTCGCCAGACAGGCAAGGAAGGTTCAATCCTTTGGTGTTAGAGAGATAGGGGTTGGGTTCTCAAATTTCAACATGGAGAAAGGAGTCATTTGCAATGCTTTTGAGAAAGTACTGTGTAGACCCTACGAGCCCGTACTCATTATGTGTGAGACTGATGACCACTGGTTGGCTTATTATCCATTCCCCTAAGTGACAAAATCCCACTGACTGTTGAAACCCAACATCAGCTCCTGGCACGCCAGTACCTTTGAATCACAACCAGCTGCAATTCCGGGATGGAGTTCAAACTAATTGCGGGGGCATGTGCTTCTTACATGACTGCTAGATCATTCCCAGATGGGTAAGGTTGCCCTGATAAGCAACTTAAATGAAAATAACAAATGTATTGTTTGGCCTCTTTAAAAAAAATCGGTCATCCTCCGGGAATGGGTTTGTCACCACAGATGGTGATTTTCCTTGGTAGATAACCAGGATGCCTGGATTTCTGTTGTTCCTTTACAGAAAACCAGGAATTCTATGTCATGGACCCACTAGACAAGGGACCTTCCTTGGTACAAAAGGATAAGAAATGTGGATTTGTTCCCTGGGATATTCACGTTAGATGCTCACTACATCATCGGCGTAAGGTCAGCCGAGAGAAAGGATGAGGAGACCTACAAATCAGGCAAGCAAGCTTTGCTGAGCTGCTTGGTTGGTCCACCACGGTTAGAGGAGGCAGCCCCCCTTACAGACTACAGCAGGGTTTTATAGGGCCGGAACCAGGTCGGGGTAGGGGAGCTGAGCCAAGGCTGCAGGAGGACTGGGCTGGGGTTGGGAAGCTGAGTAGGGGTTGCAGGTGTCTTGACCGCATCCTGGAGATGTTTTTTGCCAGCTAACTTACGCAAGGTTAACAGACATGTTAACCACATCCTGTAACTCTCTGGACAAACAGTTACTGGAGGGGTCAGTGAAGGGGGGCGTTTGTCTTTAGCCCTGGGGGAGGTGTGCGGGGAGTGCAAGGGACTGGATTGTAAGGCCTGTGGGAGGGGAAGGGAACGGTCCGGTCGGGGTGACCCTAACAATTGGTATGTTTCTGTTTCGGGCAGAGCTCAGACCTCAACACACAGGACTCTCGATGCAGAGAGAATGAGCTTAAGCCCCTTCTGCAGACAGACGCGGTCTCTGTGCAGGATGTCCGCTTAGATCTTAAGACCCTTCATAGGAAAACCATGAATGATACAACCAGACTAACAGGCCAGGAAACAGCCTCCAGGAAGGACAGCCTGCCACAGGTTACAAGGACAATGAAACTTGCAGGATACACTCATGATGTTGACCTCCCTAGCTTAGCTGGACTCATGGTGCTGCAGGGAGACCTGAAGCCCATACGGTGAGAACTGCAACAAGATTTATGGTGTGGGGGTGTGTCCCGCAGACCCTGAGCCAGCCACGGATGAATGAAGTACACTGACACACAGCTGTTCTGCTTTGCCAGTTTGGCTGAGTGTCCGAGCCACTTAGTAGCAGCCGTGGCCTGGATCAGTCAGCGAGACTTGCATTTATTCAGTAAAGATTAATTGACAAAGGTCGTGAGTCAACACCGCTAGAGGGAAATTGACATTGCGGACTTCCCTAAGTAGAAAGCAGTTAAGCTCCTGCAATATATCAAAGGTTAGTCTTAGGACCACATGCGTAAACAAGTTAAACTCCCCACATTCCTTTGTTTCTACTCTAATTTATTAACCAAAGGTAAGGGGACTAGGCTGCCTTCAGCCAGGTTTGTTACCGAAGTTATGCAAACTCACAGGCCTTCCCAGAGGGTCTGTGGCTATTATAACTAAAATTTTTCCCACCAGCCTGACTGAACCCCCACATCTGGATCTGTAGAGGCCCCAGCATCACATCTGCCAAGCTCCCCACGGGGCTCAGGTCTCTGTGTGAAGATGATGTAGATGGTCCCATGAGATGGCTGTTCAAACAGCTCATTGCAGGTTATGCCATTGATCAGTTTTCCAGGCCTGCTGTAACAAGCGACCATAGCTGGGGGCCTCAAGACAAAAGGAACTATTTCTTCTCTTCCAGCTCTGGGACCAGAAGATCACGGTGTCTCGGGGCTCTGCTTCATCTGGAGGCTCTAGGGAACGATCAGTTCCTGCCTCTCTTAGCTGCTGGGGACTCCAGGCATCCCTTTGGCGTGTGCTTGCATCACTCCAGTGTCACAAGCCTATAATTCCAGCTACTCAGGAGGCTGACACAGGAGAATTGCTTGAATCCAGGAGGTGGAGATTGCGGTGAGCCGAGATCATGCCATCACAACCCAGCCTGGGTAACAAGAGCAAAACTCCATCTCAAAAAAAAAAAATCCTTGTTTCTAAATAAAGTCTCATTCCCAGGCTCTGGGTGTTAGGATATAGACAGATCTTTTTGGGAGACCACAGTTCAGTCCACTACAATTGTGTCCAGTTCCATCCAAAGGCTCTAGGGGAGGATCCTTCCTGCCTCTCCCAGCTCCTGGGGTCTCCAGGGGTCCCTGGGCTTGTGGCCTCATCACTGCAGTCTCTGCCTCTGTCTCCACGTGGCCTTCTCCTCTGTGTCTGTGTGTCTTCTTCTGTCTCTTAGAAGGACACCTGTCATTGGATTTAGGGCCCACCCTACTCCAGAATGATTTCATCTCAAGATCTTTAACTCATTGCATCTTCAAAGATCCTTATTTCCAAATAAGATCTCATTCCCAGGCTCTGGGTATTAGGATATAGACAGATCTTTTTGGGAGACCACAGTTCAGTCCACTACAATTGTGTCCAGTTCCATCAGACGCTCTAGGAGAGGATCCTTCCTGCCTCTCCCAGCTCCTGGGGGCTCCAGGCATCCCTTGGGCTTGTGACCGCATCACGGCAGTCTCTGCCTCCATCTCCACGTGGCCTTCTCCCTGTATCTGTGTCTCTACCTGTTTCTAATAAGGACACTTGATACTGGATTTCCGGCCCACCTGGATAACCCAGATGATCTCATTTCAAGACCCTTTGCTCAGTGACACCTGCCAAGACCCTTTCTGTGAATCAGATCCCATTCACGGATACCAGGTATTAGGCTTTGCTCATCTCTTTCCGGGAGACACTATTCAATCGACTATTGGCCACAGGAACCAGATGCCATGAGAGTGCGGAAAATGTTCTTTCCATTTCTAGAGACCCGGAAAGCCATGGAGGTGGATAGCTTCTGTTATCTACACGCCAAGTTTCATGAGTCTGCACTCTGTGGAACTCACACGGGGTGGCCGCGCACACAAGGGCGCCATAGTGGTTTAACTCTTTGCTGCCCCCACCTGGAAATTGTTCATTACGTTGGAACAAGGAGTGCGTCTTCTCATTTTGCACTGGGCTTGCAATTGGTGTAGCCATCTCGGTTCATGCCTCTTCCCCTCTTCAAGGACAGGGAGCAGCTCTGAAACGGGACATCCCCAATCCCCAGTGAGCCTTGTGAGCTCATTGAGCATCGGTGAGCTCAGGCCTCTCACTCTCTGTGACGGTCTCCCCAAATATCCAGGAAAGCTAGTGGGCATTTGATGCTCACTGGACCAACCTCTGAAAATGACTCATGGTCGGCCCCATCCCCAAGAAACTTCTGCAGTTAATTCTTCTGGGCATCAGCATTTATTTCAAATTCCTCAAATTTTTTGCTTTATTTTCTTTCTCTCTCTCTCTCCTTCTTTCTTTCTCTTTCCCTATTTCTTCTTCTTTCTCTTTTTCTTTTGCTTTCTTTCTTTTTCTTCTTCCTTATTTCATTCTCTCTCTTTTCCTTCCTCGTCATTTCTTCTCTTTCTCCCTTTCTCTCCCTTCCTTCCTTCTTTCCTTCTTCCCTTCCTTCCTGTCCTTCCCTTCCTTCTTTCCTTCCTTTATCTCTCCCTCCCTCCCTTCTCTCCT